GTGGTACCTATGCAAAATTAACATAATGACATGAGTTATACAATTTTATCTTTTTTTTTATCAAAATGGGTTTGATATTATATCATGTTTCATTATATATGTAATGGGTATCGATTTTAAAACATTATTTTTCTTGTAGGTACCTAGTACTACCCACTAATATTTCATGTTTTAAATATTTACAGTAGAAGAATCCGTGAAAATAGTTTTTACATACTACCTATTATACTGAAAAAGAAATCTTTCGAATCTATAGTTATTTTATCACGGCTTATTTAACATAACTCCGTGCCGGGCGATATGCTTCACTATATAACATATACTACATCATATTTTATTTATAGCTGTAACTATACGTACCTTAGTACCTAACCGTGTAATTTTATCTGTTTAAATGAAACTCTCAAAAGCACTCTTTGAAATAAAATGTGTACGCTATTGATATCTTACATGAAAATAGTACTCGATAGGTACTCGATTACTTTAATTCGCTTATACCAGATAAATTAAAAAAATACTTCAAGCTTTAGATTTTGGAAAAGTACTATTGTTTTGTAATAAATTTGTTCCCATTATTTCGTATCACATTTTTTTTTCAAAAAATACCAGTTTTGAGATATAAAACAAACGTTTTTTAGACCTATGTAATATGTTATAATATTATAATTCAAAAATAGATAAACGTATACGGTATACCTAATGGACACAATTAAAATTACATAAAACCGGTTTGTAAGATTACACATCTATATTAATTTTATATTATTATTGTTACATTTAATATTTCAGTTATAAATCATAAATGTTTACTCCGACGTATTTGCTATCACATTGATCTGCTTTAACTCAGTGAAAGAGCTTGTCATATTGATTTTTACTATCTTAGCTATTACGAGTGTCTGCAAAAATGCAACACCTTTGGCAAAATACCTTGACGCCCACGGACTCCTCCCTTTTTAATATTACTATATTATCATTGTGAAAAATTCAATTCTGTGTAGGATGATCTCGATTTGGTCCGGATGTTTCTTTTTAACAACCAGTTGGTGTTCTGAATGCGAGTTGTTTGGTTCATTGAGTTTCGTTTATATCGTGAAAGTGTATAATAATTCTAAGTGCATTTACCTTAATAACAATTAAAAATGAAAATGAACGGTTTGTAAAACTTTTATGTACCTATATAATATTTATTCTGATATTTATATTGTTGAATTACTGCAATCATTGTAGTTTTCATGAACTATCAATATCCAACTTGATTATAAGCTATAAGCGAGTATGCTGTAAATGTTTTTTTTTTTTGGTGATGAACACTATAAAATAGTTAGTACCTACCTAATAAATCTAATATTATTCTGCGTGACCGAATATTCATAATATTCGTAATTCAAACATTTTTCATTTGATTAAACCAAATATTTTATCCACTCGAATAGTTTAAAAATATCGAATAATTCAATGATTCAAACATTTAAAATACCACCGAATTTTTTGCATTGTCTGGACTATCAAATAATTCAATAGTATCTACTATATTCGATAGTGCCTACACTTTTTTCCTTACGATAGTTGAAACTTAAGTTAGAAAACTATTATAATGTTAAAATGTCTAGTCTTAAGCACATTCTAGGTTAAATTTCCTATTGGAAGATATAGTTACATGATTTTTTTTAAACTTTCTTTGTACTACAATAAATAAGTTACAAGTTATAACACATCGTTGTAAAAACAAATTACTAATAGCGATTTCTTTAGAGATCATTTATCTCACTTCACTTTGATGCGTTCGAGTATTATACTTTTGACTTATAGACAGTTTTGTAAAACAAACAATAGTCAAGATTTTTAAAATAGATAGCTTAGGAAATTAGTAGTACTAATCAATAAATATTAATTTACATGTTTGGAGTATTAAGACTCTTTTACTGCTCTAAAAATATTGTGTATAGTGGAAATCGTTCATAGTATTATAATTGCATATTATTTCATTGTAAAACATGTCGTATATCTCGCCACCTAAGTCAAAGTCTAAAACTAATAGTTTAAAAAATATAACTATATAAAAATAATCCAATCCAAAAGATTCTGTACAATGCATACTGAAAATATCTATACTGTATAAATTATTACTATTATATAAATTATAAACTATCACTTTGTGCGTGAAATAATAACTAATTTAAATACTGTTAGAAATGTATAAAACATTATTTGATATTTCACTCTATGTTCATCCAACAAATGAATATCTGTTCTTACATATTTTAATTTTACTGTATTGGATATCGGTACTGCCATTTTGGTAGATACTTTTATATCAAAACGAGTTATTTTCGGGGACTGTCTTTAACTTGAACACGTCTATTGCCGATATTATTTTAATTGATGTATAAATTAAAGTTATTAATATAGGTATAATATCTTATACTAGGCAACCTCGACTACAAATATAATTATGCTTATATTCATACTAGCTTGGTGGCCACGTACTAATATAATAATATTATTAATATTTCATAAAATAATTTACATAATAGAATTTTACGTTTAGCTCAAATTCGTTTTAAAAAATATTTTTTTAAAAAGTTTTACAAAAACTCTGGGATTGTTCCAAGTGTAATACTTAAAAAAAAGTTCCGCAAATAACATTAGCCAGTATATATTTTATATACTTATATATATATATAATATGTATTATTATCGTGGCTTAACGCACGCCGCCTACACGTTGAACGTAGCTTATTGATCCAAAAAGGTGTTTGGTTATATTTCTATTTTAAAAACAAATCCTCTAGGTCCTATTGGCCTCGATATAAATTAGCCAGTTTTCTGCGTGCAGCTCTCCGAAATTGTCAGGAACGTGGGTTCATTCGTAATCTGATGGTTATAATTTCACAGTTGATATGGTCCGTAGAAAACCCACACCTTTAACGTACGTTTTATTCATGTCATAAACATACCGATTTTTTTCCGCGGATCCGCGGTACTCTGCTTCAACTGCACAATGATTGTGATTTTAAGCTCAAATGGCATTGAAAATGTATGACACGGGGATAATATATAATATATACTATATACATATAATACCTATTATATATATAATATATATGTATGTACATTGTACATTGCACAGGTATATTATTCATTCGAATTTTAATATAAAACCTTAGGCGTGGAAATGGCCAGTGGAGCTGTTATAACACGTAAAGACAACAAATCATCTTATATAGGTAAATAGTTTTATAATAATATTCAGTGTTACTTTAAGTATTGTGTAAGAAAAATTGTTTAATATGTGAGTAAATTATAAAACTATAGATTTCACTTCACAGAGCATTTTATATATTACACAATAAAATAGAAAAAAATAACAATCTACAAGTATTAAATAGTAATTATTTATTTATATAGGTAAGATATTTCGTAATCCTATTCATGTATATGTTTATTATTTATGCTTTGCGTAAGAACATTAATTTTATAAGCTATTTTTTTTCATTAATTTTTGGCACGATCATAACGTTTGTTTAACTAATAATCATAAAATTGGTGACCTATAAGCTGTTAAGCTCTTAAATAGGACTCACTAAAAGAAGACTTATTCTCTATGTGTAACTTATCTGTTCAGATTTAGATTTTAGATAATAATTTAATAAGTACTTTTTTCCGTAGTAGTTTATTTATGCGTGATTTAGATCTTATGGTTTTTTAAATGTATTTATTTATTTATTTATATTTTGATTTTTACATGCTGTATAGTTAAATTGTACTGTTACCTTTAGTTACTTAAACACATTTTTCTCAACTAAATGCAATTACTGGAATGCTTCATGTGATAATTCGTGATCAAATTATTTAATCAACCATACTTTATACGTATCATTGAAAAATAAGTATTATTTAATTTATCAGACTAGAATGCTAATACGTATGCATTGCTGCAGTGTACCTACTTCCTAGTTCCTACTTAATAATAGTATGCCAAAGTTCATACTTAAAAATGTTTAATAAATAATATTTTTACAGTTATCATCATCTTTTGTTGTAGACATATTTCGACCGGAATTTTCTATAGTAATGATTTTTTATTTAATGATATGGTATATTTTTGGATAGGAGGTTACTCCAAAAGTTAATTTGATGACCAAAATGTAATTCCAGGAATTTAAAATTTCTTCAAATTTCTTTTCGTGGTAGCGTTTCTAAATTCCGAAGCGAATATTGTTTTTTAATGACTATTTTTAGTCTACATAGATTTAAAAAATAATGGAAATTGTGATTTTGTATGTACATAATAACAGTTTTAGTTCCAAGAATTTAAAGTGTTAATCTTTATATTGAAAATGATGCGTTATTTAATTTTGTTTCAAATTTTACTTTCAACATTGATTGTTCACATAACTCGCATATGAATTTAAAATCGTAGTTACACTTAAAAGTTGGTTTTATTAAACGAACCAAATAAACGATATAAAAACTACAACGTGTCACTTAATTATTGTTAAATTTAACACACCTCATCCGCACCCATATATTTTGTACTGTGCATAAATATATTATGTGCGTTTGACATGCAAATGATGAATGGTCGTAGAAATATACCATTTTCTCATTTGCTATTTGTTTGTATCAAAATGTGTATTACCGCGCATTACAGACCCGCCTATAATGTCTCCTAACTATATGCTAAACTTGGGCATTTTCATCCGGTAATTTATTTAGCATGTGTTGAGTCTTGAGTACCTACTCAGAATCGCCACATCATATAAATTAAACACGAATGCAAAATGTGCGGAGGATAAAACACGTTTCTATATATATAGGTACTAGCTCCTATAACATGTACATGTCATACATCATATATACGTATTATATCGAGCACTGTAATACAGGCACTACGTTTTAATATTATAATATTTAATTTCCGTTATGTGTTTAAACATTTTTGTTTAATTTATTACTTATTTAATATTATATGAGTCGTTTTTGATTTCGTTTAGATGCATTGCTGGCGGATCTGCAAAGCACAATACAGCAGACCAACAAATTAAACGGTGGCGTCAACGGAGGATACGGAAGTATTAATGGTGGAGTTCGATCTCGATTGGCTTCTGCTGGTTCACCGGTTGCACTAGCACCCGAATATGCTACAGTCCGATCTCACAAGATTGAAAGGTCAACTTCAAATCCTGCAGTTCGACAAGAATTATCGGTATGAATATTTTTCATGAAGTACCTACCAATTTTTTTTTATATTCAAGAAAATATATTTTTTTTTTAAGTTAGAACTGAGTACCCCAGTACATATATGTTCGTTGTGGTAGAATTTCATTTTTAGTACAAATATTTTTCAATTTTATTTAGAAACTATAATATTATATACAAGATAATTCACCAAGCACTTCACGTTTTCACCACCATTTTTTCTTTAATAATTAATGTATTCAAATTCTGGATTTGGATTTTTAAACTACATATAATGACCATATTTTTAATTATTCGATTTTCCATTATAGGCGTATTTACAGGGAGTGATCTGGAGGATGTATCATCTTCCAGAGCTATTATTTTGTAAATTGTTAAGCATATGATTTTTTGAAAATGTTAAGGTACTTAAATCAAAATTTAAATGCTTAAAATATTTTTACTACGGATAATAAAAATTGTTTTACAAAAAAGTAAAATAGATGTAATAATATATAATCTAGTACTTATACTTGGACAGTTTTTACAAATAATGCAATTTTTATAGATAAATATTTATTAAATTACTATACATTTTCAAATAACTATTGCCTTCATATCCTCCAAGCCTATTATCATGGATTGTTATCTTTACTGCTAAGCACTCTCAACTACTTGTTTAAATTTCAATTTAGATACATCAACATTTTAAAAATAATTATTTCTTTGAAAATATATACAAAAAACATTAAGTTCTCATTTGAAAAAAAAATGGTATCACCACTACGCCATAGGAAATTCCTTAAACGGTATACAATAATATATGCATTTCAAAATATAATGCTTAAAAATTACACAAAACATAATTTGAATAGACTCATTATCAAAGGAAAATACTGGAGGCAGGCTTGTTTTGTGATTCATTCTGTACTAATAAATAAAAATAAATAAATAAAATAGAAATTTTTCTAAGCATATAAAATAATTTGAAATACTGTGCTTGTCTGATATTTAGAAACAATTATCTAGAAACATTCCTGAGTTATAACTGGCCAATGAGAAATACTTCAACAGACATTTTTAAAATAAATATTTGGTTCAAGTAGACAATATTTATTAATTAGTGTATTTTATTTTTGTAGCCAACACAACCTAGAAACGAATTTAAATCATCAAAAATGACATCTTCATTGAATAATAATCTTTCAGAACTTGACACATTACTTCAAGATCTTAGCAATTCACGGTATGCTGATAAAAAATGTAAGTATGGTGTTATAATTAATTGATTCATTTTAATTACATTTTAAAACAATATTAAATAGAAATTTATACAGTATGTACCGTTGTATATAATATCATTGTTATTATGAATAATTTAATATGAGCTATTAAAAAATATGTATATTTATTTTGTTTGTAATCAAATGAAAATGACTAATAGGTAAATAATACTTGGATGCATTCTAAATGTTGTCAATGTCTTTTTTTGTAAAAAAAATATATATGTCATTATCAATTCATTATAATTCATATGATGCACTGAATGAAAACACTCTATATTTAAACATACAAATTCAATAATAAAATCAGCTCCTCCCATTATATTTAATATTTACTATCATATTAAATAAAATAATAATGATTAATGAGTTATCATATTAGTTTAATCTTAAAATTAAAATAAACCATAGTTATTGGTTAATTAAATACTCATCTGTATTAATTTTAGTAGGATTATTGGGAAGAAAGTGTAAAAGTGTCATTCCTGACATATGTTATTTTGTATTTTTACATGCAGGGGTGCAATTTCAATAATGAAATTGAAAGAACTGAAGCCCCCTATTTTCCTCAGTTACTCTTATGATCTTGGATTACATAATAACTCATTATTAATAATAAACCATGGCCTACCCTCCCTATGCCCCACCAATCAATTAACACAATAAATAATGGCTTTGAGCAGTTCTTATTGTTTGTTTTCATTATATTAATATTTATTGATGTACAATAACAACTAATTAACCAAATTACATACATTATGAGGGTGCTGATTTAAAAACTGTGGGTGGGTAATCACAATCCAAGCTCCCCCCCTAACAAATTGTGGCTGTACTTTATATTGTACTTACTAATCACCATTTTAGGCACTAATGAATTTTAATGTTTTTAAGTTTAAACCTATTAAAATATATCGAGGATCAAATATTATTTTTAAAAACAACCTTGATTATAAAGTGAAGAATTTTATTAGTCTTCTGAAAAATATAATTAATATTAACTAAAATAAAGTTATTGTGCTATTATATTGTATTGCAATCAAATAAAAAATAATAAGGAACTCACTCCACTTTATAGATTCTGTATTTTGAATGTATATCATCATTGAGTAGGTCACTGAAATGGATACATTAAATTAGAATTAAATAATAAATCATTGTATACAAAAAACAATTCTGTGCAGAGAGTATTATGTCAGCCTGTATTTCTAAGGTTATTAATGTCACTATAAGTAATTTATTTTTAAATTACCAATATGATTATTGATTAGGTTAGATTGTTTGAACTAATTTACTAACAAAATCATTGCATATATTACTTTTACATTTGAATATCCAATTTCAAAAATATTTGAACTTCAAAAGAATTACAAATAACATTTTGATTTGTTTGGATTGGTATAAGAAAAATACTTATGAGGAAATACCGTAATATTTTACTTAAGTCTTTAGTAAAAAAAATTTAAAATGTTGAATCTATACAAATATATTAATTTGTTTATTGTATATTTTAAAATATTTTATACATTAGTTTTGTGTTAACTAAACTTAGTTTTTAATAACTATTAAAATTATGTTAAGTTAATATTTGTATTTAAATTAATTTAGTGGTTAATGGAGATTCTTATTCTGCCCCAACAAAAACAGCAAATATTCCAACCCGTCCATCAATGGATTCTCTTCTAGATGAGTTGGATACATCACTTTCTTCAAAAAGGTTAGTTGAAATATTAGTTAATTTATATATATTTTTTAGTTAGATTATAATTGTAAATTTATGATAAATTCATTCAAATATGCCAGGGAAACTTTTTTTTTTAAATTAAAGTTTAATTTTAATTTTATGCATTACAGTTTTAATTTTCAAAGTATAATAAACCTATATACTAAACAGTATTATAAAATCAATGCGTTCTCACATAAAGTTCATTACAACTTACAACAGCTGTAAATCAAATATCAATAGCTGATCAATATAAATATTGTTGAATCATTATCAAGATTCTAGATCCTTATACAATAAGCAACAATAATATATAGTTGTATTAATTTTTGAAACTTTTTTTACATGATTTATATTTTTTTTTTTTTTTTGTGTCTAAAATCTTAATATATTATTTTTCCTAGTATAATTTATGTTAAATACTATTCTTATCATAATTGCTAAATGTTTTTTTTTTTTTTTATTGGTTAAGCGTCAACTACATAGGTTATTAGCTTACAGGTGTTAATTTCTACATTAAATAATTATATGTTGTTGTACAATTCAATTTTTTTTAAGTATAAAATTATGCTATGAAAGTTTGAAAATGGACCAATTGTCTGGGATGTTGAAATCTTTTCTAGCTTCGTTGATGTTTGGGCATTGGATGATGATATGTTTGATAGAGCAGTTTGTATTGCATGTTGGGCATAGGGGTGGATCTGTCTTTGCCATAAGATGTCCGTATGTGAGTTTCGTGTGACCGATTCTGAGTCAATTAAGAATTACTTCATTTTTTTTGTTTAGATCAGTGTATTTCGGGCAGAGTTCGACAGAGTGCTTAATTTCTCTTAATTTATTTTCCGTGGTTGTGTGCCACTGTGAGTTCCACAAATCAATACAGTATTTGTTTATATTTCTTTTTATATCTACGAGTGAGGAAAAAGGAATGATTTCACTGTCAGGACTATTGACTGCATTTCTAGCCGTTTTGTCTGCCTTCTCGTTTCCCTTTATGTTGCAGTGATCTGGAGTCCATATAAATCTGATTTCTTTGTTTGATTTGGAAAGAAGGTTGCTAATTGAAAGAGCCAATGGTTCTGATAAGGTTTTGGATTGTAGATTTGTTAAGGCACTGTGCTAAATGTTATTTAACATTTAAAATGTTATTTTTTTAGTAACAATGGACAGTTGATTTCAAAGATGTTAATGGAAGAAACCACTACCACAACTACTCGTACTGTCTGTCCAACTGCTTCGTCGGCTACTCGAGAATTAGATGATTTAATGGCTTCGCTATCAGATTTCAAGGTAAGAGTTTGCGTTAAAACTATGTAATTCTTTTGTTTTTTGTATTTGAATGGTTAAAATGAGATAAAAAATGCACAAAATGTGTTGTTTTCATTAAGCGCTTATATCAACAAACAGTTGCTTTTATTATTGGTTTAATATTATTCTAACATGTGTGTGCATTTTGGCAATACAATCATATCAGAAACACATTTAAGTATTAAAGAAATTAAAACTTTCAAGTGTTTGTAAAGAATTATTTAATTTGGTATTCAAAATGTATGAAACTTAATAAATTATTTATGTAAAAAGAAAGTTTTTTTGAAATGATACTTTTTATTAAGTACCATACTTATTGGTTTTTATATCTAATAATCAAAATTAATTTTAAAATTTAAATTATGCACGTACCTACATAATATATAATACTTTATATAATACTACAAGTGTGGTTTTTTTATAAAATTACTTTTAGAAGTACAAAAACCCTAATTATATAAAAAGAATATAAAATAATAAATACTTTTTTTTTAAACTATGAATTTATTTTTCAACAAGATATATAATTTTATAATTTTAGAAATTCCATGAAATTAACAAAATGGTATATAACTAATTATAGTAAGTATTTATAGACTTTGAAACAAACAAAATGTAGGTTATTAAGATTTTTGTGCAATTTTATGTTAATGTTTATTTTTGGTGCCTAGTAAATGTTTTTCTAATGATTTTTTATAGCACACGAGTTTTCTGATATCAGAATATCATTTGTGATATTGCCTTTGGTTTTGTTAAAATTAATTTCTCCATCTATTTTCTTATTTACGTTTCGTATAGAATCATAATATTCTATAATAAAACAAACTAATTTAGATCCTTAGCAATGAATGTATTGGTCTTACAATTAGTTGTTTATATTTATTTTTTTTTCTATATGTCATATCCTTTTGGAACATTGAAACTGCTTCAATTTTTACTTTGAAGATAGTTTTCTGCCTTTCCTGTAGAAAATTGAATCAAAAAAAAAATTGCTGTCAAAAAGTTGGTACTATGTTGGGGGATCAGAATCCGGTAAAAAAATTCCCAGTACTTTTCAAAATAAAACAAAACTACCTTAGCCAGCCCCACTATTGTGAGTGGAACGATGAATGTATTGGTTTAAGAATGATGTTGAAAAAACAGGAATTTTTACACAATACAGTTTTTTTGTTATCTTACAAACTATAAGTACTTGAATTTTTCTCCAAGTTTTTAAAAAAGAATTTTTGAGAAATTGTATAATATTAAAATATTTTAGCTCTTAGTACTAGTTTAAAGAATTTTTTGATTTATACACATTGGCATTTTTTTTGTGTATATTATAGCTTGACATTTAGTACAAAGTTCAGCAATAGTTCTCCAAAGTTGCAACAACTAAAATATATTTTTTTAAGCTGTTGAATTTATATTGATGTGATTCAAAAATGTTTGCATGTTAGTAAAACTATCATTTTTTTTACTTAATGACATTGTCAAAAATTTTGGACCGATTTTAAGCTATTTATAGAAATTATAAGTTTTTTATTTTTAAAATTTTTTTTATACCTATATTTTTTTTGTGTTATCTCGTGATTTTTTAAATAAATATGCATTATGTGTTTTCGTGAAATTTGCATAGTTAGAATTAAACAATATTTTATGGTAGTGATTTCAAATTGAATCTAAGTAATTACCCATTTATTTTAGATTTTTTTTTAAAGTGTTTTAGTATGATTGATTTGTATAGATACTTCTTAGAGAAGTGATGTTGTTCTTTTAAAACCCTGACTAAATTTTTGACTGAAAATGCTTTTTGTTAATTTAGCAATTAATGTCATGTCGTCTTAATTCTGTTGATACATGTTTTGTAACTGGGGTAATAGACAATAAACTTAATGTTGGATTTTATTATTTGGCATCTGTGAGTTACTTAAAAATGACTGAATGATCAAAATTATATCTGGTATAATTTTTGTTTAGGTCTCTTGCCAAAGTCCTTGTAAGCATAATTACTTAACCTTGAATATTTTTTTATCTTTAAACTTAAATAAAATAAAAAATATATATGTCTATTTATAAAATGTAAATCTGTACAATTAGGTCATATATTCTAGTAAACTATTACAGACTAAAATCAGATTTGCGCAGTTTGATAAAAAAAAATTGACGTACTCTAATTCACAGTGTCTTAAGTTAAATGTCTTCACAGTGAATGCTTATTTTAGTTACATTTATAATTACTTATTTTATAGCATGAGAATGAGCAATGGCTAATTTAAATCTTTCCACGCACACGGTTTGGGTTGTTTGCCTGAATTTGTTTATACAGACAAAGCTCTCCTATAGCCCAACTGTTTCAATGATTTTTACAAAATTATTGTTTCCGGTTTAGGTCAAACCTCGATATTGTCTATTACCATAATATGACACATATGACACCATGTTTTACTGACACATATGACACCGAGTTTTAACCAACTTTACATGTCTGACCTGTTAAGACCATTTCAAATATTTTATTTCCGATTTAACTGTTTCATTATATCTATGTATGTTTATTGAACAAGAGTGAACATATTAGATTCTGAACAGAGTATTTATTTTACATTGATATGTATGTTAAATAAAAATATGTTGATTTTCACCAATGGGGGTGGTTTTTGCTTCAAATTAAAAAATAGTACTTTTCAAATAATTGGGAAAAACGAAAAAAAAGATTAAGGAAAGAAGCTAATTTTTACGAAAAAAATGTATTTATGATGATCAAAAATGGTTTCACTCAAAAACAAATAACCGCAGAAACGTGAAATTTTATCTAAATGTTTATACTACTGTTTTCTATACATGGTATAATTTTTAAAATATTTAGACGACTTGAGCTAGCTATTTATTTCTTATTAGATATTATTGAAATCTCTTTTCTTGCTTTTTTTCTAAGTATTTCGACAATACAATTTTCTAAAAGCTATGAAAATGTAACTCGAGGTTCTTTATAAGTTGATATAAATTTATATTTTAAAAAGTAAAGCAATATTTCACTAACATTTTTATGAGTATCTTAAGTTTAAATTTTTACGATATTAGATAATATAGCACGTGTATAATACTTATTTCTCATCAAACTTGTTTTTATTGTAACTCAAAGGAATAACCATAAATGCTTGGTGTTTGAAAAATGAAAATATTTGTGTTGAATAATTTTCAAAATATAGGGTTTTCTCATAAGTTTATGATGAAGTTGTAATTTAAAAATTTGATAAAATTATTCAAAATCAGGAATAATAATTTTGTAGTCATAAACTCAATTTTTATATACCAGTCTTGAGATTTTTAATACAAGGTTTCTCATAAATGCTTATGCGCTGACTGATATTAATGAATCTAAAAAATATTTAATCATAATTTTTTTTTGTAGACGTTAGAAGTTTAAATTAGGACGTAATTAGATACCTATTTAAACAAAAAAAAATGATTTTAATTATTTTATTGTAATCCAAAAATATTTTTCGTGTGGACTTGAAACTTTCAAGCATAATATTACTATAATTTATAATATACACTATGTCATTTTCAAAATATTTAGATTAATTTTATGCTATTGCCTATTTATATCACTTTTTCACATTGTCTTACTGTAAGTCGGTATGACTTAAAAGTTAATAACAATAATATATGATATAAATATAGGATACTATTATAATAAACATATATTATTAATAATATAATAAATGCAATGTTTTCGGCTCAAATTAATTCAACCTATCTTATTACTATCAAAGTAAATAAATTACTCTGATAGTAATATAAATATATCATAAAATATACTTAGTAATATAGGCTTATTGGCAGTCTTCGGTTAGAATTGTTTTTGGTATGCAATGATTAATTATTGAATTCAAACTTAATACATACATTATAGTGACTCACACAATAACGAGGTACACTACACCTACAGAAATGTAAATGTAAATGTAAATGTAGGTACTTTACTTCTTTTTTATTTAGGTTATATACCCATTACCCATAATTGTATTTAACCGCATACATTATTGATTATTTATTAGTTTATTGCTAATTATCATCAACATTTCATAAATAGAATAAATTAAATATATAACAACACATATTAGTTCAAATAATATATAATTCTACTCATGAATTGATCATTTTCACGAGTAAGAAATTTTTTTAGATATGTTTTTGTTAACAAATCGATTAAAACCTTTCAAATCAACTTACATTTTATATAGCTTAGATTTACCTATGTCCTCATTGTCACTCATTTAAACTGCACACAATTATTACACTACCAATGCAATGAAAATATCATATAATTTTAACACGTATTTGAAATCATTATCGACTATCGTATTGAAAATAAATATTAAAACTTCATACTCACTTACAACTGAAAAATAATATTGTTGCGTCGTCCTACGTAAAAATTTGTTTTATTTTTGTTTTTATTGCTCAAGAGTTATAAGTCTCATAAAATACATTTTTGCTATAATAAATTTCTGCTTTGATGTATATACTTTAGGACAGTTCTTAAGCTTAGATAAGAATATTTTTAAGCTAACAAAATACAGCTTTAGTTTTAAATATAGCCATATTTTATAATTTACTTAAAAACAAACATCCACAAGTTTTAGAAAGCATATAAATTGGGTAAGTCGTAGGTGTGGTATACTTATTATACAAACTTTATCCAAGTTTCTGTTTATTTTTCATTATTTTTGTTTGGTACAATAATAGTTTTTTAAAATGTAATCGTGTTTAGATTACGATTTACGACATGTTGGTTTTATAAATATGCAGTTAAAACGATATATTATGGAACACTTTATGTAACTTTGGGCGATAAAGACGGACAATTTTCACCAACCATCATATTATAAAAAATATTAATGACGTTTTAGTCATAATAATAATCTATTTTATACCTAACAGTCTCTGTACCTATTAATTAAATAAATGGGTTTAATACAACATAACCATTATGCATTTATAATTTATCTGTTAGATGTAATTCTTTAACTTATTTTTTATTAATAATTTTATAAATGTAAATACAATTGTTTTATATTACTATTAATAGTAAGGTATAAAATAATCAAAAGCTAAAACCATAATTTATTACAATTTTAAAAACTATTTCTGATGATGTACCGTGGTTCCATGGTATACCGTTATAAGTACTTATAACGCTGTTCTGTGTTTGGTCTTGACTTCCTTTATATTATCTTGATGCGGATAAAACTGTATTGTTTAATTAATTATAATAGGTAACATTAAAATTATTGATTGACTAAGTATGAAATGCGTGCTATGTAATTGTTTTAGTTAATAAATAGGAAAATATTAATTATTTTTAAATAATTATTATTTTTACTATATTTTTTTATAACTTTCATAATTGTGTTATTAATCTTTTATTATTCACGAGTTCGTGACATTTAACATTTTATTCAAATATTATGTCATTTCTGTTTTATAATAATAATTATTATTCTAATGAATGAATGAATCATTATTCTAATGAATTATTTTACTAAGACTTATAATACCGTCTGACTATAAAATATGTATTATACAATTATTATGTTTTCTTCATCTCACAAAATGATTCAAGTAAAAACAAACGTATAATATTAATTTTCATTTTAGTTGAAATATAAATAAGCTGGTATGTAGTTTTATTTTAATGATAGGACTTTAAATAATAGTTTTAAACGCAAAAAAAATACGATTCCATATAAAGGTGTAGTTAAGGTCACGCAAAGACAGTTATTGATGAAGGCAATTTAATGTTCTCAAATATAATCAAACACAAATCTCGCAATGCCAAAATGTAATGGTTTAAGTGATTTATTATTTTTCGTATTTTCAACTTTGGATAATACAAACGTTTAATAAACGTTCAGATAAAACATTGATCGTTGGTGGTGGTGGTGGTGGGGGTGGGAATGCTACTGCAGAACGTGTATTACATTTTTGTTGTGATATTAAATAAAAAATCAACGATAAATAATTGCTTTTGAAAAACGATGATTGGTTGTTGAGAGAACTCTAGTTAAATTTTACAATTATTTTGTTAAAAGTAATTCTATGAGCGATGTGACTTTGTTATAGGTACATTTAAGCTTGGGGAAACTTAATCTGATAATCGATAAAATTCCATTTTTTTAAATTCTAAGTAGCATTATGTATAAAGTATAGATTTCCAAAAATAGATAAATTAAAAACATGTCCGGTTGATTGGCGTTTGGATAATCGGAGTTCTATTGTAGTTAGATTTTAGAAGATAGCCGATAGGTAATATAGTCGCTGATTAAATATTTAAATTAATAATGTATAGTGTATATAATATCTGACAGGTGGCATACAGGGTAGGGCCAGCCATCGTGTTTTTTGAGTTGGCTAAATTATGGAAAAACGGTGGAGAGTCTAGATTAACCTGCATTTTGCATAATATGAAACATTATAATTCGTACTCGCTTGCGGTCTCAAATATGAGACCTGAACTACTATACAACCAACTGTTGCACTGTAATCATCGTTATATATGCAGTATATTATACCATTGTATATCATCGCCACCTACTCGTTCCGATAACTAATAATTTGTGTTGAGGGTGTCGAATTTGCCTATTTATTTATATTGATAAGGTGGCAAATATGTGGGTGGTTTAAGTACTGTGACGATAGCCATGGTAAATGCAAAATCAATCCATTTAAACGATCAAAAACACATCATTTAGGAAAAACGATATCGTCGAGTTAAATAGTTGGATTTCGATAATTTTTTTTTTAATTTTGAAAATTGAAAACTTTATTCAGCCGGTGTCTGATTTTTTAACTCACTGTAAATAGCGCCGGAAGTATTTAAAAATGTGTGATACATAGAGTATAGACATTAATTACAGCTTCTGAAAATAGAGTTTTTAAAATTCCAATGCGATTTGTCTAAAGTTTTTCACATAGTTGAAACAAAACAATATTAAAATCTGACTATTTCACTAGTCATAAAAGTTTTTCACGTCATGCGATGGCAAGTAAATTTTTGTACTAAAAACGCTCGGCAGCGACGCACAACACACTTAATTTTTAGAAATATTTAATCTCGTTTCGTCGTCCGTCGAAAATCGAAACTATCTTTACCGCAGTGCCGATGTTATATACGATTTGCGTGAAAAATAACGTGGAAGGTATAGCAGGGACAGTATATATCGCGTGTTGGTGTAGATATTTGATAAGTTCTCACACGAAACATGGCAGGTCAACAATTGTTACATAGTATGTAATAGTTACTACTGGGAATAAAAAATCTCCCGTACATATAGTTCCTACTCGGAGAAACAAACTGAATGCATTCCTTCCTGTACTGTACAATTGTATAACATACCTATATATATCGTTATAATTTATAACATACCTATTACCTAGTGCTAACCGTTTTCTAGATTTGTCTTTATTACCTAACTTTATGATACGAATTAGTTAGGAAATATATTTTAGTTGAATTCAGTACTCGTTGATTGTAAAAACATTGGATCTAAAAAAGTTTTATGCAACACAGACATATTTTAGCCTCACTATTAAACTACATACCTAATATTTAGTTTGTGGTTCTGAATTTGTTATGATTTTACCTACTATATGCCTATATATATTATGTATATATATATGTGTCGTGTGAGAACTTACATTTGCCCTGAACGCAGGTGTACGATTGTACGAACGATCTAAACATCACTCAGGCATAAATTATGATACCGATGCTCGCCGCCGCAGCGGGACGATCGCCAACACGTATGACGGTCGGCGGTTGGTCACTGTCGCGCGTGGTCCTCCGAGCGATTTTATTTTCACTGCCGCACCGGTAGAAAGGGAACTTTAGTGCCTTGTGCAGACCAGATTTTTGCTGTTGTTTTACCCATTATTGGCAGTTTCCAGAAATAACTTTTTAGCGAGACGGGAAATTTTTGTCCCTTCTTGCTCGGTACAGCCGCGGGCGGGGTTTGGCAGCCGTGGGCAAAACAACTCGCGTTTTATATAACGAAGCCACGGACCGCCGACGCTTCACAAATCCAAACAATTCTGTCAGTGGCTTTATCGTTTGTAAAATAGTAATAATTATAATAGTAACAACAACAACAACAACAACAACAACAGCAAAGTCTACGATTATAATATTTCGATTTTTATACGCGTCGTATCATAAAAGTTTTTATTGTAACTTCGAAGAAAAATACAGTCAAACGCAATATTATAAAATACGACTCCATCCGAGTTTCGTATACACCGCATAACAGGTACTTACATGTGGTTATTTAAAATAATTCATCCGGTTTCAAGTATGTTAAGTTTTAGGTTTACAGTTATAATTGAAATAGCATAATAAAATAATAATATTTCAAATTTAGTTTATGGTACCTACTTGGAATTTAATGTTCTATATGATTTCCGTTGATTTCACGAACGGCATCTAATCCACGTTCAAATTCATCACATGCTTGCTCCCTGTTGTAATTGTCTGCTCCGATTTTTGGTTTCTCTGTGATTTATCAATAGTAATAGGTGCGTAGATACACAGTATCATCTTTAACACATCTTCAAAAATAAGTGCGGACGCGCTGAGTAAGATCTCCAGCTAACCTATAGCAGGAGGCCAGGTTCCGGGATACTTTTGAATAATTTCGAATGACCTTATATATGATCCTATGGTGGTTCTTTTGACTGTAGTATACGTGCTTATTATGTCAAGGAAACGTTTTTTTAACAAAAATATATATTTTTACTGTTATCTCTCAAATATGTTTATTAACATCTTAAACCGCAGCACACATCGCCGTATTGTTGACATGCTATAATTTACTAATCGGTCTGTTCCGTTTCCGTGCGTGTTTCTCAACAGGTGTCCAGTCCGGTGCGGGCTAGCTACGCTACCGAATCGGCAGACTCGGCGGCGCCACGTTTAGACTGCATGCTCGGCAGCCTCACGGCCGAGATGAACAGACAAGGCGTGAACACAACGCAGAAGGGATGCTGCACGGCGTGCGACAAGGCCATCGTCGGGCAGGTGATCACGGCGCTGGGCAAGACCTGGCACCCGGAACACTTCACGTGCAACCACTGTTCCCAGGAGCTGGGAACGCGCAATTTTTTCGAACGCGAAGGCCGGCCGTACTGCGAACCGGACTACCACAACCTGTTCTCTCCCAGATGCGCGTACTGCAACGGACCCATACTCGACGTAAGCACGCGCGGCAGCTTCGAAAACTGCAGTTTTCACTGCAGGCCCCGTCCCGTGCATTGTGGACGTCTGTGGGTGTACTGTGAGGGGGGGGGGTTGTAGAAAGGCTCCGAGGAAGTCGCTTGCAGAGCTTTTAAAAACGTTGCGACGTGGTCAACCGCTCCCTTATCAGATTGTTGACAGATTGTGTGGGTTGTATAATACGTCATTATATTCACTGCAGTGCACCCGCACGACCTACTCACATGCACGTATTACACGCCACTGTCAGTAAAAAAATCGATTCAAAGTAATATGTCTAAACATTCTCGCTAAATGGGCACATTTTAAGTAAACCATATCTTTCATTGGAGCTTTCATCCAATTGTTTTTTCGCTGCTTATTTGACGATGTTTACCGTTTTGCCACAGCGTTTATTCAATCGGCTGTGTCGGTCTGTGTACTTGTTGAAAATACAATTGAAAACGGTCGACTGAGGATTTTCATTTGGTTTTTTTCCCCTGGTTTTCAGAAATGTGTGACGGCCCTGGAGAAGACCTGGCACACGGAACACTTTTTCTGCGCCCAGTGCGGCAAACAGTTCGGCGAGGAAGGATTCCACGAGCGCGAAGGTCGCCCGTACTGCAAAGACGATTACTTCGACATGTTCGCGCCCAAGTGCGGAGGGTGCACCCGGCCCATAATGGAGAACTACGTGTCGGCCCTGTCCACCCAATGGCATTCCAGCTGTTTCGTCTGCCGGGTAAGCCACCGCGTTCCTATAATTACAATAAATAATAATAATAATAATAATAATAATAATAATAATAATAATATTGATATGAGTGATATAACGATGCAATAATAAAATAATATTTGACGTTTTGGTTTTTCTAAACGTAGGTATTGGTATTGAATAATACTATTTTCGCGGATGTGCGGGTGTGTGTATTTTTAGCCGACGGTACTTTTTTTTGTTGTTTGTTTTTTTTGTTTTTGTAGGTCGCTGCACAGCTCTACGCTCTATGATGTATGGACGCGAGCATATTATTTCCACTCTATATGAGTATAATACACGGTCGAACCTGGCATTGGACCAGTGTGCGCTTCAAAATGTATCGCGGCTATTATTATAATATGTAAATTGTGTATCGTATACACTATACACGGTCTACGGCGGTCTCATTAAAACTATTTAACTTTTATCGATCGTCGTCGCCGTCATCGAGGTTTTGCACGCGACATAATGATATAGTATATAAGTTTAGAAACCACGATAGAATAAATAGTCTGTTATGTCTCTATGTGAGCAAAAATGCGGCCGACGCATCCCACCCTTCGACCGACCAACCACACCCCGTCGTCGTAGTTCTCGTAATTTCATATTGATCGTTAAATTACACTCCAAAATACAATATTGCGTTTTGATTGCATAAATATTATCATAATATTATATTCTACCGATGAAAAAGGGCGAGCCACGCTTATAGACAGGAGTGGTCGGCAAACATATAGCAAAGTTGCTGGCACACCTATTTACTTAGCCGTGGTAGTAACAACCGTGGTATAACACAGCCCTTTAGGTCGTTGTCAACCGTAATAAAAATGAAATGGTGCCGGTAGGGGGAATGTTCTCGAGATCACAACACAATGTTTCGCAGATGGTGCTCGGCGTGCTTTTGAATGAAACGAGAACGATAGTATCATGAATGAATACAAAAATTCAATGGAATACCGCTGAGCTTCTATTAATATGAGGCGACCGCTTATTGTATAGATACATAATATGCGCTTGTGAAAACCTAACACAAATTATACATCTAGAGTTAAGATGTTTATGATCTCAAAAACTCTAAAAAAAAAGCATGCAAATGTGTCCAAAAATTATCAAAGCATATCCACGAAACAATTAAATATGGTATTATAAAATTGTATAAATTGCATTATTAATTTTAAAAAAATATGCACTACCTAACATTTTTATAATATTATACCAAACTTTTAAACTGTTATTTTTTATAATATTACTTATATCATTTTCTTTTTATAATTGAGTAAATATTTTCTTTGAATTCTAAAACTTAAGATCTGTTATACAGAAAAAATGTCGTTGAAACCCCTCCCCCCTCCAAAAAAAATGCATTTATAGCTAAAAAGTGGAAAATACTGATGCTAAAACTAAATAAAAATACCGCGGATTGTGGTTTGATCTGCAATGTGTACGACTAATAGAAAAAATTCATAAACATCCTAACTCTAATTATATATTCATAACATACGAAGTTATATTGAATGTCGTCGTTTTTGAATTTTCAATTAATGTGTTGCCGCCATCGAGATACTCGCTTGAAAAAGAAAAAAAAATTAAAACTCACTACGTGCATAATAATATGATATATTATTATAATGACGTAATGATTTAAATTTCGCTCGTAACTATACGACGTCTGTCGCTCAATATTCTAACACCGCGTTTCCAACTGCTTCTGCTCCGGCAGCGGCGGTGGTCTAAACGCAGCCGTCTCACAATCGGCCGCGACATTTTGTGCATTATAGGATTGCAAGCAGCCGGTCACTGGCAAATCTTTTTACGCCATCGAGGGAAAACCAGCGTGTGCGAAATGCGTCGGTGTCGATGAGGAGGATTGAATGCCCGCACACTATATATATATTTATATATTCTATATATATATATATATATACTATTTTATTTCTATAATATTAATATCTACGACGATACTGCATAATATTATAATATATCAACATAGAACGTTTCATCGCGATTCGTCAGCATTATATAATATGTCACATTTATATAATACCATTGTAAAATCAAAAAAAAAAAATATATATATAATATAGTTAATAATTTACTTTGTTGCATGTCAAAATAAACAAAATTTATACTTATTACTATTACTATTATTATTATTATCATTATTATTATGGAAAATGTATGTGATGAATTGTTGTGGTCGAAAATTTTAGCTTGCCACACGATCGGAATAATGTGATGTCATCGACGGTGTCCTCGAACATAATATTAAAACTACAGCGGTATATTCCTTCTCCCTACTTCCACCATTCCCCACCGCCTAAAAAAAAAATTAACGCTGCCAAATTTACATCGTTTTGTCGTAATGGATCCGTGTGAATGCATATCGAGATTTATAAAAATAATATATATTGTCAAGGCCAAAATACGTTCGTTTCTGTGAATAAAACACTCAGTCAATAACTATATATAATTATACACATAAGTAATATCACTTGTACTTGGAAGATCATCCCTCGGTAAAAAAAACAATTCCAAATACGTCGCGGGCGGCCCTGGCCTATACACGCTTATATATACCTACTCGAGTATATATTATTATATCTGAGTTTAGTTATGTGGGCAAGTAGTAGTAGTAGTGTAGTGTTTTTAAACTAAAATTATAGTATTTACACAATATTATAACCGTTGAAAAATATTCTAAAATTGTACATCCATGTGAGCTCATCATATATAGGGAATCCAAATGACTCAATTCCTCTCGACTCGAATGTCCCGTTACTCAATTGATAAATACGTACACCATCAACCGTGGTCTTGCTGCAAACACCCAAACACCGATATGTCATCTATATACCTAGTCGTTAGCCACGATCGTTTTTTATACGTAAGATGAAGTTTACCTGGGCATAGAAATCCCTCATAAGTTTGGCATGCCGACGTACTAAAATCTTCTTACAATTCATACAGTACAACATGGTCACGTCTCACACGAGATACGTTCACAGACCTGCACGGAAAGCATTAAAAATTTTTTTTCGAAATTTTAACGAGGGTCCAAGGCCGCAGCTCCTCCTCCGGCTATACGCCACTGTCTATATGATCAACACATGTGTGGCTATATATTCACGTCCTACCTGTCGCCTGCAGTTTAAATAACCAAAACAGAATCGCCGACGACAGACACATTATTCTCGAGTCGTGGTGCAGCCAAGTCACAACCGGGGACGGATCCAGAGCATCCAAAAAATTCTATTATCAGTGTTCACTATACCGGATACTATACCATTGACTATGAATACTACTGTGCTTATAATCAATGCGTACATATAGTATGTATATTTGTGTTGCAACAAAATCGTTGCCCCCCCCCCCTGCAGATCTCGTG